TCTGCCTGTGGCCACGAAGCGAGCCAGGATGCTGAGAGGGTATGCGAGATCTGGGCGAGTGCAAGTCATCAGGTACATGAGGCAACCCACCAGCTCTGCGTAGGGGCCGCTGGGCTCTACCAACTCCTCAGACACTGGAGCGGAGAGTCTGTGGTCTACAGGCAGAGGGGTGGGCTGTGCAGAGGAGAACTGAAGGCTGAACCTCTGAAGGACCTGGCCCACCAAGTGTGACTGAGTCAGAGTGATGGTGCGCGATGCTCTGTCCCTGGAGATCTGCAAACCAAGGTAGCGGCGCAGTTCTCCAAGGTCAGTGCACGTGTGTCTCTTCAGCAGCTCTGCCTTCACGGAGGCCAGTGCGTCCCTGTCTGCTGTGGCAAAGACCAGGTCGTCGACGTAAACAAGGATGTAGAACGGAGTCTGGCCAGCACGAACGAAGAGTGAGGGTTGCGGAACACGGAAAGAACTGCAAGTCAGCAAGGGTAGCACGCAGCGTGTCGTGCCACTCACGGGGAGCCTGGCGCAGGCCGTAGACGGGGTGCCGCAGGAGCCACTGGGTCCCAGGAGGGAAGGTGCCAGTAAAGCCCTGAGGGCGACGCAAGTAGACCTGCTCGTGTAGGCTGCCCTGAAGGAAGGCAGTGGAGAAGTCGAGGGAGTGAAGCTCGTAGTCACGCTGAGCAGCTAGGTGTAACAGAACCCGAAGAGTAGTCATCTTCGGGGTCGGAGCGAAGGTCTGGAAGAAGTCCACCCCTCGCGCTGACTGAAGCCTCTAGCCACGTAGCGCGCCTTGAACACAGGCGGCTCTCCAGGAGGGCGCTTCACCTTGAAGAGCCAGTGGCCATCGACTACGTTCACCCCAGGTGGGGAACTGCGTCGACGAAGGTGCCGGTGGATCTCCAAGATGCCATCTCCTGCTCCATGGCAGCTATCCACTGCGAGGCCCAGGGTCCCGAGGTCGCCTCAGCGTAAGTGCGAGGGGTCGGGATGTCGAAAGCGTCTGGGTCACCCTCAGGGACTAGCAGCATGGAACAGAGATGGGGAGCAGCCTCGGACAGGAAAGCAAGCTCGAACTGGCGGTCCTCCAGGACGTCACTGCCAAGGGCAGGAGCACCCCCGACAGACGGAGGACAGGCAGGGTCAGAGACCAGAGCTGAGGCGTAGTCAAGGCGGCGGGTAGAGGCGAAGTCAGCGACCGCAGCGACAAGAGCGTCAAGGGACGAGACCGGAACAGACAGGTCGGTAACGAGAGAGGCAAGGACTCGAGGAACAAGAGGACGAGCGGCACGAAGGTAGTCAGAGAGCGGGGGGGGTGCAACAACAAGGGAGGACGGAGGAGGCGACGGCAGAAGGGGAGGACGAGACGCGTGGGAACGAAGCAACATAGGGTGGGAGCGCAAGACAGGCGAGGCAGGACGAGCACGGGAGGGAAGGTGAGACTAGACGTGCGACGGAGGAGTCGGGTCAGGAGACAGGGGAGGGGACACAGGAGGGGAACGAGGGGAAGACGGGCCGGGGACGAGTCCGGCGGAGGGAAAACAGGGCCGTAGACGGGAAGAGGAGGAGACGGTCGGGAGGAACAGACGCAGGGTCGGGGGATGGAAGGCCGAGCAGGCGAAGGGCTGACACCGGCGGGGACTGCTGTTGCGGCGGCACAACGGCGACACCTGGACCGCAAGCTGCTCCTCGGCTACCACCGGCACACTCCACACCAGCACGCCCAGAGGGACCACCCCAGGCGACCGGGACGAGCACCCCCAGAGTCAGCGAACGGGTGCTGCGACGGCGGCGGCGGCGGCGACAACGACGGCTGCAGCGGCGGCAGAGGCGGTGGAGGAGGCGACGGGGAGGGGACGCCGGGGGGGGTCGGCCGGCGAGGACTGCACAGGAGGGCCACCAGAGTCAGAGGACTCCTCAACCGGGTCCACCGACGGAAGGGGGGTGACGTGGGACACACCAGAGGGGGCGGGACGGGGAGGAGGAGGAGGAGGGTAGGGACTACCGGGGAAGGAGGACCAGGAACAGGGGGTAACCGGGGACCGCGGTGGGGGAAGCGACGGTAGTAGGAGACGGACTCGTCAAAGGTGACGTCGCGAGAGTGAAAGAAGCGATGAGACGGCGGGTGGTAAAAGTGCCAGTCGGACGCGTCAAGGGGAAAACCGAGGAAGACGCAGGGAAGGGTGCGGGCAGTGAGCTTGTCCGTGCCGGAGGCACGGACGTGAGCAAGGCAGCCCCAGACGTGGAACGCAGACGCGTCACCAGGAGACCCAGTCCAAAGACGGGTCGGCGAAACCTGCGGCTGCTGAGGGTGCGGCCACAAGTTAAGCTGGTGAGAAGCGTAGCGCACAGCGAACGGCCACAGAAAATGGGGTGCACCGGCATGGATCATGGAGGTGCGAGCCACCTCCATGATCAAACCGATGCGTCGCTCAGCGACCCCATTCTGCTGTGGGGAGTCCGGCAGGGTGAACGTCTGGGTGATGCCCTCCGCACGACAAAAGCGACCAAGGACACCTGAGGCAAACTCGCCACCACGGTCTGAGTGAAGACGCAAGACAGGGAGACCGCGGTGGACACGCGCAGAGACAAGCCAGGGGATGAGAGCGCCAGGCACGTCGGCCTTGCGCTCCAGGGGAAAGACTGTGGTGTAGCGGGTGGAGTGCGGTGCAGTGCGTAGCAGCGCGGTGCCAGGCAGTACAGTGTGGTGCGGGGCGGTGCAGTGCGGGGGGGGAGACCGTACCAGTGAGGAGGACCGGGGCCGGGGCAGGGACGAGCGCAGGGGCCGGGCCGGTGCAACGGGGCCAGGCGGGTGCGACGGGGCCGGGCGGGCGCGACCGGGCCGGGCTGGTGCGACGGGACGGGCGGGTGCGTCGGGGCCAGGCTGGTGCAACGGGGCCGGGCGGGTGGGTCGGGGCCGAGCTGGTGCGACGGGGCCGGGCGGTGCGACGGGGCTGGGCGAGCGGGACGGTGGCCCAAGAGGGGCACGCCGGGGCTGGGCGGGCGCGACGGGCCGGGCAGGGGGCGACGGGGCCGGACGGGTGCGACGGGGCCGGGCAGGGGGCGACGGGGCCGGACGGGTGCGACGGGGCCGGGCGGCTGCGACGGGGCCGGGCAGGGGGCGACGGGCCGGACGGGTGCGACGGGGCCGGGCGGGCGCGACGGGGCCGGGCTAGTGCGAGACGGGGCCCAGGAGGGGCTCGACGCGGCCCAGGAGGGGCGCTACGGGGCCCAGGAGGGGCGTTACGGGGCCCAGGAAGGACGGTACAGGGCCCAGGAGGGGCACTACAGGGCCCAGGAGGGGCCCAGGAGGGGCGCGACGGGGCCCAGGAGGGGCACTACGGGGCCCAGGAGGGGCGCGACGGAACCCAGGAGGGGCGCTACGAGGCCCAGGAGGGGCGCTACGGGGCCCAGGAGGGGCGCGACGGGGCCCAAGAGGGACGCTACGGAGCCCAGGAGGGGCGCTACGGGGCCCAGGAGGGGCGCGACGGGGCCCAGGAAAGGGCGCGACGGGGCCCAGGAGGGGCGCTACGGGGCCCAGGAGGGGCGCGACGGGGCCCAGGAAGGGCGCGACGGGGCTAGGGGGGGTCGCGACGGGGCTAGGGCACGACGGGGCTAGGGGGGGCGAGCGGAAGCGGTAGGTGGGGAGGGGGGATCCTAGCCTGCGCGTGATACCATATCAGAATTAGAGTAGTGAATTGATGATAGAGTGAGAGTACACACAGATATACCTAAGTGTTGTACCCTCTAAGAGGTGACCCTATACAGTCTATACAAACATGACACATACACATGTTTGACAATACTTATTCTGAAAATCAGGAATTCATGATAAAATATAATAATATGAGGCCCTGCCACAATTCCATCCCGAGCCGCATTGAATGTGTACCCCGGCTTTAATTCAAATGTCCTATGAAACACAAACGTGAGAATGATTGAGCCTGATTCCACCTCGCCACATACCGGTTGATTGTTGGGCGCAGTTGATCTCTTTTAAACAATATACAAGAAGCATGCGCGTATGCAGTGTAGCACGCTGATTGAAGTGAATGAGCAAAGCGTAATCCATGAAGCACCTGTTCTTGTCGCGAGCAGCAATGGCAGCATGCCCAGCACCAGCAGCATCAGTGCTGCTAGCAGCAGCAGACAACATGTAGGGGATAATCGCCAGCGCGAATTGCGGCACATGCGGCGTTTTCACCGGAGCTTTGTAGGTCCGAGCAGACCCGCAATTCAAGTACATTGAAGCTTCGCTAGTGGCACAATCCAGTCGCACAGGGTTACGATCAGCTTCACCCGCTTTCATCTGGCGCTTACTGTCGATACAAATTAGGGTTTGTCATAGAGTCGGACTCTCTCCCGCAGTCAGTTCCGTGGCCTGATCATCAACGAAGTTATCGAAACCAACCCGATTTCTGACACAAAAATAGAACCGATATCTGCTTCGTTTCTGTCATTCCTCTCCCCCCTGGGCTGGGAGGGAGCAAAGTAAGCTTCGCTGCCGAACCCAACTTGATCAGACTGCTTCGCTCCCCTCCCCTCTTTTACTGTCACGCTTTGTATAGTCGCGTCTGGCGTCTGCGTCTCGAGGTCTATGCGACACACGGGGCAGGTGGTCCTGGCGGCGAGCCAGTGGTCGATGCAGCTGACATGGAACCGATGCGCGCAGGGCGGCAGAGACCGAACCAGCTCCCCCTCGTTAAAGTCACACAAACACACTGTGCACTCTTTGCTCGCTTTAAGCCCCCCGTAATCCAATAACTCGTGAATATCTCGCGCGCCTGGCGTTTCCACTGGTTCAGAGGCGTCGGTTGCAAGCGCTAGACTTCTTTCCGCTGCTGTAGCATCTCCGAGTGTATTTTCTCCCGTAACCCCCTCATGTCTGGGTCAACGTGGAATTTCCCCGCAGCAGGAGGGAGGCGATACGGTTTGACGGGGAATGTCGCGAGCCGCGCGGGGTGCAGCCCCGAGGGGGTAGGGACCAGCACGACACAGTCACATTCCGTGCAGGCTCTTGAGAGGAGTGATTCGCGTTATAGTGAGGGCAACAACCAAACTGAGTCAACGCGTAGAGAAGGGCTGGATGACGTAAGGCGAGAGTGATAAAAACGACGAGAGTTACAACGACCACAAGTGAGGCTATCGCAAGGGTGAGCGGTAGCACCTCCACCCCCGTCGCACCCGTCGCACCCGTCGACGTTCCTGGCGCTGATGCCGCGGGAGGTGAATCTGGAGGTAACTCTGGCTTCAGCATAATCTGCCGTTGGTCGGCAATCCGACGTTTTCAAGCCCTAATTATCCTCATGCCTTTCAGCTACCCGTTCCTAGCAATGGCTATCTCCGTTGTGCAGAACTACTACGGAATCGCCAAAATAAATTAAAAAAGAGATCCGAAATCTGTCCTGAAAAGACTGGTACAGTATGCGAACTTCCTGGTGAGGTCGAATCAAGAATCTCTACTCAACCAGGCGAATTTGTTCGTAGGTGTGTGCTCGCTCGCTGTGTGGTGTGAGAGTGGTCTCCACTCCACAGGATGAACTTCCTTTCTGTTGCCGCGCTTCGTTTATACAGTACCCGGACAGTGCGACTTTGCCAGTCATTCCCGAAACGGGGCCAGTCGGGCTGCCGTAACGTCAGTTTGTCTGACAGGCCTGGCGTGCTGCAGAGGGGGGAGGTGGCGGGGCGGGACGGGATGTAGGGAGCACGGGTGCAAGGCTGCAAGCAGCAACCACGGCGACTAGAAGTCACACAGGTAAGAAAGAACCCTGCTGCAAACGGAATGCAATGCAGTCCATTGTTCTGTTGGCATGAGCAAAAATTTTACGGGAATTTCTGAGCTGCGGCAGGGGGCGGTGAATGGCAGCCATGGTGGTGGTGGTTCTGCTGGAGTGGACAGGGCACGCGAGAAACGAAATGCGAGGGGGAGGCTGGGCGGTTGGGGAAGGGTAGGGGATGGTGAGGGGAGGGGCGAAGGGGAAGCGGGGGATACGTGGGGAGAGTGTAGGGAAGAAACATCGGGGATGGAATGTTTGGGGAGGCGATTCTGCTTCCGGTCTGTATTGAGTGAGTGTAAGGAATTCCCATTCCTTACTGAGTCGTACGCTACCGCGTACACCCGAACACTTCGACTCGTCACGTTCGGCCTACATTTTCGGCCCAACCCTTTCTCGAGTCGCGCCCGATAGCGTCGCCACATTGCCGAACCTACTCACGTCCCGAGGTTATCGCCCTACTACGTCCACTCCTATATAACCTTGTGCTTTCATGGCAATAGGGACGTTGTATTCTCATTATAGTACATTGACATCTTCTAAATCATAACAGCTGATATCAGAGCCCGACCTTTCTCGGAACCTTCCGTTTCCCGCGTTAGTTAGTTAAGGCTGGTCAGAGGGGATTAACACGGCTGCACAGCAGTTGCCTTTGATCGTAAATATTTTTACGACAACAACTACAGCGTGTGCGCTAGTTTCTGCCCCGTCCTGACCGCCATGGCCCCGGTAGACTCGACGGTTGAGGAACAGACAACCTCGACTGCTGCGAACTCTGCCCGGGAAACAGTAGACCTGCAAGCATTAATGGAGCAGTTAAATAATTTGACAAGCGTCGTCAACAACCTCCGTGACGAAAACCAACGACTTCGCCAGGCGCAGGAAAGGCGTTCAGAGGAGCCGGGCGACGATGCACGAAGCGAGGCGGATGAGCAGCAACCGACACCAGTGGAGCTGGCACGGCTAGCGGCGACAGCCCCGCGCTCGACAAGTGGCGGCGTGAGATATCAGCAACCCGCTCCTTTCGACCCATCTAATAAAGGCGTGACGGTGCGGCAGTGGATATTCGCCATGAATATCTACTTTAACGCGGCGGGCATCCGAGATGACCAGAAGCGGATCAGCCACGCGTTGACACTGCTGCAAGGGGCCGCCCTATAGTGGTGGAAGGTCATCGTCGACTCAGCGGCAACTCGCACAGAAGGACAGCATGAGTGGTCCGAAGAATTCGGCGACGAAGACGAGGCAGATTTACTGTTTGGTGCAACTCACATTCGCACATGGGCAAAGTGGTGCGCGGAGCTCCGCAAGCGGTTTGAGCATGCCCCTGACTCAGACAAGGCGCGCGAGACTGTACGCATGTGGAAGCAGCTGGGATCTGTGTGTGACTACACCGCGTCATTCTTGACGTTGGTGGATCGATGTGGCTACATGCACGAGTTGGAGAAGGTCGACAGGTACATGGGTGGGCTGAAGCCTGAAATACAGTACCAAATAAAATTACAACGACCTGCGAAGCGGTTACAAGACTTCATCCAACTCGCCGAAGCCGCTGACTCGCTCACGAAGCCGAGGACGAACTTCTACGACGGAGGTCGCCCTCGAGAACAGTACCAGCGCGCCACGATAAAAGGGATGGACGCAGTGGATATTTACGCAGTTGCTCCGCGAAATACGGGGCTATGCTACCACTGTGGCCGACCGGGTCACATCAAACGTAACTGCCAAGAGTTCATCGCCATACAGAATTCTATGGGGAAGAAGCCGGAGGAGCGACCGGGAAATGGGTCGCGTCAGTAAGTACCGGGCCCCTTACTGACGGGCAGGCTTCCTCGCACGAACCACACAGTCCCCACCGGGTCGTGATCCCGATTGCGGCAATCGACCGGACCCGGACGAATAAGGGGACGAAACTGCTGATCACCCTGTGTTGGTGGAGGGTAAAGTCAACGGGGTGTTGCTGAAAATATTCGTGGATGGAGGCGCGAGTCACAGTCTCATACAGCTGGACAGGGCTAAGAAAATGGGTATCCCCTTACTAAAGTGTCTACCCGAAATCGACGCACGACTGGTGGATGGAACACCGCTGGCTATACGGGAGCGGGTGGAACACGTCAGTTTCCACTGCGGCGAGCACGTAAAATTTCGGATGTAGCTGCTGGCGACTAGACTCGACAGGTGCGACGTGCTGCTAGGACGGGATTGGCTGCGATAGTACAACCCGAGAATCGACTGGACGACGGGCAGCTGCAGCATCAAGATCGATGGGCACTATCACAAGTTACCGAAATGGATGGGACCCCGCATGCGAAGTACCCAAGTCCACGCGATCACCTTCAAGCGCGCGATAAAAGCGGGAGCAGCAGCATACGCCGTCGATCTTCGCGAAGTAACGTCACCGATAACAGCGGAAGATATCACGAAGCTGTGTGAAGCCGTTCCTCCGGATTTAGCGGAACTCATCCGAAAATACCCCGAGATTTTCCCAGACGACCTACCCGCCGGACTGCCGCCTAGCCGACCCGAAGACCATCGCATCGAGCTAGAACCCGGGGCACAACCGACAGTACAGCGACAATTTCGGCTCAGCCAACCGGAACTCGAGGAATTACAGCAGCAGCTGGATTACCTCCTGACTTTATCCGCCCCAGCACATCCCCATACGCCGCCCTCATACTGTTCACACCGAAAAAAGATGGCGGATTCCGTATGTGCATCGACTACCGCGCCCTCAACCGCAGCACCATCAAGTCCCGTTACCCGATCCCGCGAGCCGACGACCAATTCGACCAACTTCGCGGAGCCCAGTTCTTCTCGAAAATCGATCTGCGAGGAGGTTACCACCAAATTCGCGTCGCCGCCGAGGATTGCCACAAGACCGCGTTCCGAACCCGCTACGGTAGTTACGAGTACCTGGTGATGCCGTTTGGACCCACGAACGCGCCTCGACGTTCCAGATGACCATGAACGGTGTTTTTCGCGAACTCCTGGATAAATGCGTAATTATCTACCTCGACGACATTCTAATCTACAGCCGCAGCAGGGAGCAGCACTTAAGGGATCTTCACGCAGTCTTCACGCTGCTGCACAAGAATCGCCTCATCATGAAAGGGTCTACAGCGACGGAAAGTATTGCCCGGATAAAGTCCAATTTTAGGTTCAACACATGATTTGAATGCTTTCACCCGATGTATCGTTGAATGTTCATTGCTGACTAATAAGTTACGCGTGCCAGTTACAATAGGGTAACACGTTTGCAACCTGAATGGGTCGCACTAATAGCGTGGCCAAGATTTCAGTCGCGTGAGTGCATCCGGACAGTTTTGGCCAAGCAGCGGACTAGATCCGTTTTCGACTAGAGCATTCTCTCCATAGTTCCTAACGCAATCGTCGAGTAGTCAGAATAAAGTTTATACCCGAGGCGTAGACTACGCCAAGATGAGACCGATAGATGAGGCTCGTCGCGCCCGGATCGTGGCCCTGTTGCGTAGGGGGTTCAGCACGAGGCAAATCGCGAAACAGGTTGGCGTTGGGAAAAGTACAGTGCATGATGTTGGGCTCAAGGCGATTTCAGAGACTAGTCCCGAGGACGTACGTCCTACAATGCCCACTGCTGGTCGTCCACGCGTACTGTCGAGTAGAATTCGTCGTGGGATCGTCCGGGCGATCACTAGCGGCGAGGCGAAAACCTCGAGGCATGCGGCCCAAATCGTCGAATCCCAGCACGGCATCACGGTGCATCCTAGGACGGTGCGTAATGCGCTCAAATCCAGCGGCCTTATCGCAGTTCAGCAGCCTAAGAAGCCGCGACTCACCAAGAAAAATATCCGCGATAGGCTGGCGTTCGCACGGGCCCACGCGGATTGGACCATAGATGATTGGCGACGGGTCATATGGTCGGATGAGACGAGGATTAGTAGGTTCGGCTCTGACGGCCGCGCGTACGCCTGGGTTCGTGAAGGTACGACTCTCCAACACCACCAGATCAAGCAAACCGTCAAACACGGGGGCGGCGGCTTGATGATCTGGGGATGTATGACGTTTGAGGGGCGGGTTTCATGTGCAAAATCGATGGTCGGATGGACGGGCCGCTGTATCTGAGCATTTTGCAAGACGAGCTGAAAAAAACCATCGACTTTTACAAGCTAACCCCCTCGGCTGTGATCTTCCAGCATGATAACCCCCCCAAGCATAAGTCCCGTGTGGTGCAGCAGTGGCTTCAGGAGCAGGAGTATGGGGTCCTGGAGTGGCCGGCAGGAAGTCCTGATCTGAACCCCATTGAGCATCTGTGGGCTCATCTTAAAAGGGAGCTGGGAAAGCATGAGACACCTCCCACTGGTATGGTGGACCTGTGGGAGCGTGTACAAGAGGAGTGGGAGAAGATCCCATCAGAGGTGTGCTCCAATTTGATCGACAGCATGCCCAGGAGGGTGAAAGCAGTGATTAGGGCTAAAGGGCGGTGGACCAGGTACTAGTTTAAGGGTTTTTCAAGTTGCTGCTTCCGCCTGGAAATAATTGTCCACATGCACCGTGTTTGGTTATGTTTGCTGTTTACTGTTAACGATAGTAGTTTCATCAAATGTGTAGCATTTTAATGTCTCCCTAGATTGGCCTGCATATAGTGGGTAATGCCTCCAATTAAGGCTTAATGTTCAAATGCCCTTTAACGGTGGAAATTCAAAAAATTGCCAAACATGTGGACAATTCTTTCCGTCAGTGTAAGTGCGACTTTCTTAAGCAGGAGTTGGAGTTTTTGGGCCACGTCGTTTCTACCGAAGGCGTGAAAATCGACCCCAGGAAAATCAAGACCATACAGGAATGGAAGCCGCCGACCAACCTCAAGGAACTCCAAAGTTTTCTGGGTTTTGTCAACTACGTCCGCCGCTTTATCCCGAATATGGCGGGGTTATCTGCACCACTAACCGACCGATTGAAGGATCACGATTGTTTTTGGTGGGGTGAGAAGCAGC